TGATAATCAGTAATAGTAGGAAGCTTTGAACACTGTGAGCCTCAATACATTTATTTATTAACTAAGATAATGCTAAAATGTTGCTTTTTTGCTCTCTTCTATTGTCACTTTTGTTTTATCATTGTTTTGTTTTTGCCTTTTCAGATTGAACTCAACCAATGAGATCATTTCTGTTCAAAATGATTCTGTTTGTAAGTTACACTCGATCATGCTCCAGATATTTTTATTGTGTTTCCGTGTTTTTGATCAACGGCATGTTTGATATTTGACTCTCACAAAGTCTTTATTCCCTCAAGTTAGCAGACTTTAAACTGCTCTTGTAGCTCCAAACGTAACCTGCTCCGGCCATTGTCTTCACATGAATCATAAAAACAAGCTATCTCGTGTTCCCCACATATGGTCCCAATACATTTTCCTCCTCAGTACTTTTTACAAGAGGTGGCAGCGGTCCAATGCAAGACAGCAGCTCTCAATTAGAAAAGAAATACGCCTGGAAATCAGGATCCGAGTCACTGCCAAGTCCACTAAATATACAGGAATTTGCGTGAGTGACACTGGTGCAGGGAAATAATGAAAACACAACATGCTGATGGATGTAGAAGGATGTAATTTAAAGCACAATAAAAGGACAGCCATTCAAAATAATGGTTATACATGCTCGGTACACTGTGACCCAAAGTTGATAATGAGGATAAGGACATCAGAGACTACAGGGACAGCCACTGTAAAAGTTCAAATGGGAACATCTATGGCTAAATGTAAAAAAAGCCACTAGATGCTGGCTTGAAGGAAGTGCCGGTTGTATTTTGGTGACCTGGACCGTTTGGAAGAAGTATTCAGATGCTTTATTTAACTAAAAGTACTAATACCGCACTGTGAAAATCCTCCACTACAAGTAAAATTATTAAGTAAGTATTATCAGCGAATTGAAAGTACTTAAAGTAAAGTATTGATTGATCAGTAAAATATTTTACTGTTAAGCTAAGCTAAGATAAGATAGACTTTATTGTCCCGAAGGAAACTTGTCTTGGAAACATACATACAATGTCTGCTGTTAAAACAATACAAATAACATATTGCATACATACATTACATACACAGACTGTCCACATACCCGCACACACAGTGGTTCAGAACCAGGCTAGCTGTTTCCTCCCGTTTCCAGTCTTTGTGCTAAGCTAAGCTAAGCTGCCATCTGCTGCCTCCAGCATCATATTTATCGTACAGCCATGACGGTGGTATCAATCTCCTCATCTAGCGTGAGTGAATAAGTGAATGTTCTGATGTGCACTTATCAGCAACAACATTACCCAGAATCTTATTTGCCTGATAGCAGAAGAGATTCGTATTTCCTAAAATGTCTAACTATGCTGTTAAGTTGCATGATTAGTCTGTTGACTTTTAGACTCAACTTCAAAACAAATCAAAACTTGAAACTGGACTTAAATTTTTAACTTTGAATGGCTTGATATCCAATGATCGACATTATATTACAAAAGAGATGTTCAGCAAATCAACTCTTTTATACTCTGTCATATATATATATAATGTATATATTATACTATGTACTCTAAATCAATCAATCAATGTACTTTGGATCTCAATATTTTAAGCCAAGCTAAGACTGGCTTAAAATAAACCTGGCTAAGACTTCTTTGAATTTCGACATCTACAATTCCATCATTGTCAACACCATCTGTCAATGAAAATCATGTGATATGATGGAAAGCTCCAGAACAGCCACTCAGTTGTGAGATAAATTTTATTCACACAGGCATAGTCATTTCCTAAAACAGTTGTTCACTCTTTGTTTTTAATCTAACAAACAGGAAATAGTGCATTTGTTTTGGGACTATTTTCAGCGGCGGATTAATCCACATTTAGTGCTCTCTACAATGAGGCTTATGATGAGTTTTTAATGGAGATCACTAGACTTTAGACTATCCAGTGGCTGTTTGGAGTTGCAGGGTGGTCTGGTGGTTCAATAGATTTGTCCGGTCATAAAATAAATAAAAAAAGGTCACAGGTTCGATCTCTGCCACAGCCAAGGTGTCCGTCAACTGCCATGTGACCCTGAACTAAACACTGAGCCATTGTGTGAGAGCCTGGACTGTAAATCTTAGTCGTCTTACTTTTTATGGCAACATCGAGCCATAAAAAACAAACAAAAAAAACCTCTAACATGTGATATGTATAAGTTAGAGCTGAAACATCTAACATACGTTATCCGCTCCACATCGCAGCGATACTCGTGCTCATAATGAAGGGCTGGAGTCAAATCATGCGTCTTCCTGTCATTACGATACCTCCTGTTTAAAGTGAAACCCTGAACAAAGTTTAGCCTTAATCCGCTGCCTGAGAAATCCATTTTTCATACGGCCGGTTATGGGATCGTGTCGGCCGCACGTCTCAAAACAAAGACCACATGTGTCCATTTTAATGCAAACCAGACGTGTGGATGGAAGCAGCCTCCAGCTCTGGTGTGTGGAGAGAGAAGCTATGAAATATGGCCTTGAAGGACGGAGGGTGGGGGGGCACAGTGGGGGTTATTAGTGAAGTTTGGAGGCTTTAACCCTCGTTCTCTCCTTCTGGTGTGACCCCAGGTGACCTCTTGCAGGCCTCGCCACAACAAAAAGGGCCAAAAGGGGCGACGGCGGAGAGAAGGGGAGATCAAAACAGAGACAGAACCGTCTGCTGCTGCAGCTGATCTTGGTTTTGCCTTTGAGGATAACAGGCCTCAGCATCCTCTGTCGTGGAATCATGTCAGCAAACAAATCAATTTGCTGCAGTTTCTGTGATAAAAACGTTTGTCGGCAGCATGTTGAAATATTTTTCTTTGGAGACGATAAGATAAAAAAACCTGCAGCTGGTCCAGAAATCTCACACCATTTATTTAAAAGTTTTTGTAATGTTATAATGGCTTTGGTGTACTTGTTTTAAACAAATTCAACCAGGTTTCCTTCCACAAGTTTAGTTTTCACTTTGAGATACAAGAAAGGAAAACATTTACGAAAAACCAAACAATCCCAACTCAAAGTCTGCTTACTAACCTTTCTGGAGCTTTCAACCATATCGTGCGTTATTCCCTCATGGAGATTGATCCGTTGATCAATCAAAAGAAACACACTAAGTAGGCTTTATGGTTTTTAGGCTCTGCCAGCATGTGTATAAACCCTGGAAAGCTTTTAGGTCATAGAAATAGAGCAGGAGTAGAGCGGACATTCACATTCATTTTGACATAGCGGGATTGTCTGAGCAGCTGCCATCTTTACGTGTACCGTTTCCATTTTGACTGTTGTAGCGGGCTAACTTCCGTATATAAACTAAACAGATTTACAGCATGTTGCAGACTCACTGAGGTGAGGTTTTGCAATAATTACTAAAACGAGCAGTGGAGTAGTAACGTTAAACACAGAGAGTCAGAGTAATTGAGTAAAATTGAACAACTTAATACTTCATCCACACACTCTTCACAGCATACAGCTGGCTAGTTACCTAGCTAGCTTGCTAATTACATGGTGGTACATAGCAGAATTAAAACCTAGCTCGCAAACTACCGTACAGCAAATATTTAATTGCTCAGACTGATGTTTTATTATTATTCTTCATATGTTTAAGGGTTATATAATTAGCAAAATAAATATTTCATATTATTTAAATATTTTACAAAGCTTCTTCTTCTAAAAAAAACAAATATATAATATAATACTATTAAAATACTAATTATTAAATATATTAAATATACTAAAACTACTGTAATACTATAGGCTACATTTGACTGTATATTTGTGATTTTGAGGTATGTCTGCAGAGGTCAGGTGAGAATATTTAGTGACCTTGTACAGGTGTTTCTTTCTACATGTCCTGATGTAGTACTAAATGATTTCCAGCTGTCTCAAAGTAGTTGCATGAAATCACTTCAAACTTCCTGTAGTTTATATATGTCTACAATGGTATTTTAGAAAAACAGTCCGATTAGTTGACCAGTTGACCTCGTCCTCTTTCTTTTGCATTCCAGGTGGAGGTGAGAGTTTCTCCAACTGTCACCGTCTGTCTCACACACACCTCAGAGTGTCTCCACGGTAAACAAAGCAAGCTTTTACTGACCTCTGCTGGTGATGATGGGGAGCTGCAACAACATGGACAAAAACACACACACGGTCATGCTTCCATCACTCTATCACATTTATTACATTCTATTGACTTACATTCATTTCCTTGAGACTTACCCTAACCTTAAACCAATACTCTAAAATTAAATGATTTACCTGTTGGGACGTG